GATCCAACAGAACAGGCTGAGAACAAAGTCGGATCATGGCTACGCAACTATGAAGAGGCAGACAAGACGCCTCGATTTCTGGAAAAGAATGGTGATTCATAAATCAGCTGTTCAAAGCGAACATGACGAGTGAAGAGAAGTATCGTTGGTGAGAGCTTTCTTGGCTTCAGTGTTGGTGCCTGTGGCTTGAACGCAGCCAAACTTACCAAAAAAAGAAGGGGATGGCGTCACGGATTCAGGACCAGCCCTCGTGGCAAACGTGAGATAGGCGATCTCTCGGCCCTTCTTGATGACCGAGACGCCCGACATGGAGAGAGAATTATAGTTAAAAGGTGTTCCAAATGTTTTTGTCAGGAATCGAGGCGGCACTGATCTTGACAAGTGCCCTAGTGTCTTAGCCGGGCAAACCTGAATCATGCATGTCCAGGAACAGGCGTGTTTGGTCCCTGGCCTAGAAACGGCTGTTGGCTGACTTAGTCGTTTGCAGGCAGGCCCGTTTGTCAGCCATGATTATTTGGACAAAAGACGGATAGAGAGAATAGTGTCCAGAAGAAATGCGGGAGCTGCACTGAGGGAAAGATTGTGGTGAGAGATATAATTCTTATGTGTTGGTGCTTCGTTTGCTTGTTGCACCAACGCCAAGACTGAATATCTCGGCACGAGCCTTGGTTTTATTGATCGTGTGAGATCCGGGAGCGATCATGGATGAAATGCGGAGGTAGCAATAGCTAGAGAATCGGGTGTGTGTGGGTTGGGTGGGATAGTTGCCAGGGGCCGAGCTGAGTTGAACAGGGATGAAGCGAACAAGGAGTGTGATCTCTTCGGCTAAATGTTTATGCTTCGGCTCATCGCTTCGTTCTTGTTTGTCATGACCAGTAAGCTAAACGTCGATTCAACACAGAAAATTGTCATCTCAGGCCATTGAGTATTCAGGAACGAGAAACAGACTTTGTCTTGCCTGACTGATCCCGCTGCCACCGCCCAAAAAAGTGTCATGCATAAGGTACTGATTCACATTTGCCGGACCCTCGATCTTGGGTCTCGACACCCTCAACTCACAAGCTAAGCGCCTCAAGTGCGAATCGAGAATACAGATCACCACTCTTGATTGGCTGCTTTAGAGATCGTCTCTCTCGCTGACAGGATGACCTGTTGGGTCTGGCCCAGTCGCATTGCGAGATCTGGCATAGCCCCAGAGACGGGACGGGCGTGGCACGCGGAGTGTGTGTCGTCAAATGGTAATCGCTTCTGGTCTCCCTTACGTAGCGTGTAGCTAATAGACAACAGGGTTCTAAGCCCAGCTGTCACTCTGCATAGCGCGTTTACTGCGGTGTGGGCGATGAAAAATATCATTGATAGTGAGTAATAACTAGTGCTGTATCCGCTTCGGTCTAGACGGTACAGGTACCAGCAAAGCTATCCTTACAATTATACCTTGCTCGGTGCAATGTCGTAATCGATCATGTTTTCCTAATTCTCTTCCCGCGATCTCAGTCATTTAATCGTTCATCCCGGACTCTGGGCGTGTGGAATGGAAGATAATCTCGTCCCGGAAACGCACATTCGTCCACTGAATTGTGTCTCTGAATTTATCCACTTTGGTTTTTGACATCCCTCGACAATTTTAAGTGAATTTATCGTGAGTCGTGGCTCAGCAAGTGTCGGAGAAGTAATCGAATTGGTCGAGGCAATCCTTTATTGGTTGTTAGTGTAAGGCGTCTCTCAAACTCAAGACGTCTCTCGGTTGTTGGAATTGGCTGCGCCTTTCCGCCTCCGGACATGACTGCATTGCACATCCCTCACCCCAGACCAGAATAGGGCAATAAGGATTTCTCGATCTGGTAGATGCTGCACTTACACATCCACCACGGGAATATCGTCATCAGCCTTAGACATAGGGATATTAATTATCCTGACAGGCCAGGGTATCTATCTACCTACTCTATGCAGGGCTTCATTTCATGACCGATCATAAACAAAGTCTCATAAAAGAAAACGACAAAAGCTCCCCCATTCCGGGCTTGACCCTAATCCCGAGGCTCGGTCGGTCATCAACTCATTCATACATACCTCAGCGACAGGAACGGAGATCAAAGTCAAAAAACCCTAGTGGGCTTGAGGCCAAAGACGGGATATTCTACACCTACACTGAGAGAGACAAGAGAATTCGCCTATGGGTCTCCGTCTCCCACGCGGCAAACATCTTGGTCATCATTTCAACAGCACACGCCTCTTGATTATTATTGACCGCTTTGGCTTTGCTTGGCCTTTTAAAGAGCATTTTTCTGGTTCATAAGAAGCTAAACCCCTCCGATTTCCCTCCCTCCCTTTGTTGCAGGGGTCGACTTGGCCCTCCAACCTCAGAAGTCGAAAACTATCTCGCGATGCGACTGTCACCAGTGTCACCAGTCGATTCCAGTTGGTCACCCACAGCCTCGCGCGTCTTTGATTGATATATTTCGATACTAAGACATCGACAGTCTAACGACAAGCAAACACGATCCGCTGACTGACACATACCTACCGAACTCAAGGGATCGACGATTCACGATTTGATTCTCACTCACTCAAATCCACTTCCCGCCCGTCATCTCCACCATGCCTCCCTGGCTTCAAGAAGGCCATGCCCAGGGCTTTTCGCCATGGTCAGGTTCAGTTCCAACGACGGCTCTCAGCCTCGAGCCACGTCGAGTAAAGCAGTTTACCATGGCTGCTCTGACGCCCCATCAGACTTATGTCATTCATGTTGCGACTCTCACCGTCGCTTCGATGAGTATACTTGCGACAATAATAACTTCCTTCTGGTTCTTTCGAATGAGGCGGAGTTTCCGCCATGAGTGAGTCTAGACTCTCGTGTCTCTTCCTCTGACCCTCTGTTGCTGACCCCTTGAAAAAAGCCTCATCATGTTACTCATTTACAGTGATATGTTCAAGAGTTTCTGGTTACTCATCTTCCCCGCCGTGGAGCTCGTCGCTGGCAAAATTGAAACGACTGAGACCTTTTGTCAAGTCAGCGGATTCTTCCTTGCTCTCAGTGTAGAAGCCTCTGATGTTTCGGTCGCCCTCATCTCAGTACATACTGCATTGTACATCTTTCGTGGAGAGCAAGGCCTCTATGCATATCGAAAGGCGGCCTATGCTCTGGCCGCCATCGTACCGGTTGTGATGGCTTCATTAGCATTCATCGAAAGCCCCGGCTACATTAATACTGGCCAGTTCTGCTATTTACCGTTCAATCCGATGTGGAAGAGACTGGCGCTTTCTTGGATTCCTCGCTATATGGCTTTCACTGTTATTCTCTGCCTATGCATAGGCGTATACGTTTACGTTCGAGTGTTGGTGAGACGATTCGGCTCCGGGAATGACAGTTCGAAGAATACTCTCTCAAGAATGTCCGGTCTTGAAAGTATCGATCCCTTGCACCGAGGAATCACCACTGTACCGTCGACTCCAACGATAAAATCCCATGGTCTAATTCCTTCTTCCAACCCTTCACGACGCAATTCCTTTACCGTATCCGAAGATCGGACAACAAGGCCACCGCTCGTGGCATTCAACTCTTTTCATTTAGACATGCCTGGATCGACGCATCCCAGCAGGCTTCATTCGGCACGACTGGCGCGAAGAGGATCGACTCAGATGTGGATGGCTAACTTTGGTACCGATCTGACATCTCAGTCTGAACAGGCAGAGGTTGATTCTCAGAACTCAACGGGCACAACTCGCTGTGGTTCCGACGATGTTATCGCCCCTTTGGCCGCCCACACAAAACCCGAGCCTGTCCACCAAACACCTCTTCCTGATGTTGTCTCACCATCATATACTATACAAACCGACTTCTTTCATCGATCTGACGGCCCGTCTAGACCACCATCTATACCCAATCTTTTCGCCATACTTCGTCGCACACCAGATAGTCCACGAAGCAACGACACCAACCTCGTCTTGACTCAGAGCGAATTCAACGCACCCGGTACTGTCAAGTCACGCGAAAAGATCTTGCGACAACTCCGGTTACTATTCATTTATCCAATAGTCTACATCGTCATCTGGATCCTACCCTTCATCGTACAACTCACCGGATATGGACGAGGAGCTCCCTATCCCATGAGACTAGCCAGCATAATATTCTTATGTTTCCACGGCTTAGCCGATGCCGTGGTATTTTCTCTAAAAGAGAAGCCTTGGAGGCATAGCCAGGCTTTCAAACGCATCAACGTCCAGTTTTGGAAAAGACGACAAGAAGTACCCGATGTTGGTGAAAGGGTCGGACGCACAAGAGAGGAAATGACACTCGATTCTCGATTCGCGAAAAAGAGACGACAGCAGGAACAAGCTGACTGGGAGATGGATCGTCAGGCTGGCAACGAGGCTCGCAAAGCAGCGAGGGCAGCCCCCCAGTGGTGGGATGCCGATGAGTAATGAGGAACTAACTATCTGGTATGTAAATAAGAGCGGCATGACAAAAGGTATAGGGCTTAGGAGAGTGTGTGGATGGATATACCCAGGATTTCATAGGTATAGATCATGACGGGGCATCATGAACTTCAACTTGCATTAGATGGCGTTGCGCATTAGGGATGCATGCATTGGGTGGTTATTTGGCACATATGTCGAACATGCTTTAGATTAGACGGAGTAACTCCTAGATACCATAGCAGACACTGGTCACAACCTCGGGCTTGTACGAGTTCCAAAATACAGGGGATTAACATATAAGTGTTCCTGTTCCTGAGTGACTCTCTCAGTAGATTATCAACATGAACGTCTGTACTATTGGGCCTAGTCTGCATCTGCTAAATGGTGTATTGTCAATCTGTTATCGAGTGCTATCTGGGGGGGTTTGTGAATATGGCCTATCTGCTCAATCTGCATCATGAATCTTCTTGCATTATCTCCGTTTCTCAATACCAAAGCGCCATCCTTATATCGCCAGCAATATTATTGACCAAAAGTATCTCCCAGAACGTCTCCCATGTTCAGTTTCTCCTCAGGCGAAATCACTGCTTGGCCTGTTTGGCACGAGCCTTCTTCTCCATCTCGGCGATCAGCGTCTCTTTGTCCTTTCCAGAGAAGAGCATTTGAAGCTGAACATAGTTGGAGAAGTTTGGCTGCATCTCCCCATCTTGGAGTGCAGCCCTGATGACCTCTTCCTTTGCATCCTGTAGCATGATGATACGTTCGTCAATGCTATCCTTCGCGATGATGCGAACAAGATGAGTCTCTTTCAACTGGCCAGTTCTGTATACTCTTTTGAACGCTTGTTCCTCGGCGGCTTTATTCCACCATTCGTCAAGGATGATGACGCGATTGGCCATCTGGAGATTCAAGGACTGCCCACCACACTTCATTGACGACACCTATATGACTGTCAGATCTTGTTGGGCTTGCAATAGAGTATGGGAACTTACCAGAATCTTGATGTCTGTGTTGTTGGTGAACTCGTCTAGTGCTCGAGGCTTTTGCTTTTGGTTTGCCATCCGGTTGTAGTAGAGAAAATTGATTCCCAGGCTCTCAAGAACACAGCCGAGAGCCTTTGCAGTCCTAGTCCACTGGACATAAACTAGAGTTATGGTCAGTACTAGTATATCTCACACAGAAGGCGAGAGAAACTGACTGATGATCTTGTCGTCGGGGGCTTCCTCCATCCAAGTCAGCATTACTGCCAAAGTGGCTTTGACTTTGGAACTCAGGGGCATCCTGACAGGACCATAGTCAATGTCATCGCGACCACAAGCGGCGCGAAAGAACGACGCCTTGTCCTTCGGGCCACCAGTCCAACGTGTTCCGATGCTATCACGCCCAGGTTCCTTGTAACCATCTATAGCCTTTACAGCTTTGTCGATGTATCCCAGAGTCTTTACTGCTTGGCCCATTCCAAGTTTTGGAGAGCATCCCATGACTTGACACTGGGGAGCCTATAGCTATAATTAGTGAGAGCCCTAGAAACAACATTATTACTTGGGGGCTGCTTACCGCACGGATGCGGCCAGTTTTTGTTTTGCTTTGGACTGCAATGGAGAGGCAATCGTGGCAGTAGATATGCTCACACTGGCAAAATTAGCGACGCTCTGCATAGCCTACATCGCAACTTACGTTTGAGCTCGTGATGGGGTTCTCAGGGGGGCTTCTCTTGTGACAGAAGGCGCAGGTTACACCTTTGACCTTATGCTCGTTAGCCGCAAGCGTGAGCAGCTCTGTCATCTCCTCGCTAGCCCCAAAGTTGTCCTTGGTCACCAACTCCAACTGTCGGAGCCCTGAGGAATAGGCTGGCTCGAGAGACGCTTCCAACGCCTTTTGATCGGCATCAATGGTCGACTGAGTGATTTCTGATTTCAGTCGCTTGATGGTCAGATCAATGTATGCCTGATGGTCTTCGTTTCTATAGAAACTTTCGAGGTTGATAGGGTGGGACGTCAGTTGCAGGATCCTCATGCATCTCAGACTCAGAATTCTGTACGCGTCTAGAGCCGTGGAACCTTCGTTCTCATCACCTTCGAAGTCGGCTTCGCCCTCGTCGTCGGGTACGTCTTCACTCTCCTGATCTTCCTGTTCTTGTTCCTCTTCTCCAGTCTCGTCGTTTTCATTTTGGATGTTGAGAAGCTTTTCTTGGTATGCACCATCCACAACCCTGCGAATGATATCAGTATAATAGTGCAAAGTCATAGTTCTACAAAGGCATGCACTTACTCTTCAAGGATCTTCTCCCAGCCTGCACATGGAATCCAAATATCCCTCCGATGGCTTTTTGGCAGGGGAACCATGGTGTGTCCCAGGAACTTCTCAGTCTGCTGTCTGGCAAAGGTTAGACGTTGTCTATTACTTCAGAGCATTGAAACCTTACCGTCTCATCATGACAAGGGCCACTAACTGTTCGAAATTTTCAGATGCCTGGTCCTAGGTTCGTTTAGAGGAGTAAGGGATAAATTGAGTGCCAAAACTCACGCTCTTGATGTACTCAGCTCGGTATCTTCTCATGCTGGTTGCAAATTTGCAACCAATAAACTTCAAGTAGGGATAGAACTCTAGTTACGTGAGTAAGAGAAGAATGAAAATATTGAAATACTCACCTTCCAGTTTGTTGGCGAGCGGTGTGCCAGTCAAAGCCCAACGGTATTTGGCGTTGAGTTCCCAGACTGCGAGAGCACCTATTTCGTGTGAGTATACGTAGTACACAGAAAGACATTACATGGAACTGACCACTTGAGGTGTGATTCTTTATACCATGAGCCTCGTCCAGAATGATTCGATACCAGTTGACTTGGAAGAGTTCACCGAGGTTCTTGGAGATGGCTTGCTGATATCCATCCTCATCTCCTGCCCATTGGGCTTTTAGCAATTTGCGTTCCTTCTTGCTGGGAAACTGTCCACGCAGTGCATTTAAGTTGGTGATTCTTTGAACTGTCAGTATCCTTTCTTCGATAACCGGTGTTTGAGAAATAAACGTACACCACATTCTTCGTACTCCACCATCTTGCGTCTTTTTCTCTTGCGTCTTTTTCAAGCTCCTTGGAGTAGATCAGGCATCGTTTGGCAAACTTTTCTGAGGTATGCTTCTTGATCTGATCCATCCAGGTCCTTGAGGCAGATTGGGGACTGTCAGCAATCACCAAAGTTGCCTTGCCATAACCATTTTCTCTGTCTTCCTTCTCTGCCGGATGACCGACGATAGTTGCAAGAGACGTGATGGTTTTTCCAAGTCCCATCTCGTCAGCCAGTATACCTCCCGCCGGAATTAATCCCATGGCTTCACGCATGACCATCCAGGTAGCGGCCACGAGCTGCTGACTGTGCATAGGGGTTCCCATCCCTTTGAGCTGCCACTTCCCGTCAATAGCCTTGATCTGCTTGTACCCGAAACATTTCTTAGCTTTCATCAGATCCTTCTTTTGCGTCTTTGTATGTCGGGTGTCGTTACCCTCGGGAATGCCCGCCATGATCTGCTTCATTTGGGCGTCGTGAGTTGTGGCCTCGATCCTGTTCGCTGGTTCGCCGTCGCCGTCGTCATCGTCCTCAGCCCCTTTTGTGGTGAATAGGGCTGCTGCTCTTGAGAACCCAGGGTGTTCAGCTCTACTGAAAGTCTCAGCTTGCGTGTCTGTTTTCTGAAGTTTGTTCGGGTTTGTATCATCGCTGTCGCGCTTGCGCTTTCTGTCCTCTTTTTCGTCTTGTCGCTTCTGATACCGCTGCCAGTACTCTCGAGCAGTTTTTGGTGGAGATTCTCTCGCATATTTCTCAAGTGCCTTCTGTGCTTTGGGGATTTGTTTCTTCCGCTTTTCGAGCGTCTCGCACTCCACGGGGCTTAACTTCTCTCCCATGTAGTGCTTGACGAGCAAAGCATTTTTTTCACTCTCCCATTTTTTGATAACCTTTCTGATATCCGAGGCTTTCCATCCGGCTCGTTTCAGCCTGTGTTTCTTCTGCTGAGTCCCCGATTCGTCCGAGTCATCTGAGTCATCTGAGTCGTCCGAATCGTGATAATCCGAGTCCTTCTCGTGTGCAGAATCTGGATCATACTCATCATCAGTATCTTCGTCCGTAGACCCCGGGTCAACATCGATCTTGTCACAGAAGTCCCCAGCTGTGACGGTGTCTTTGCTTTGCGGCTTCAGCCCCTTCATCTTGAAGTTCCCCTTCTCCTCGTCGCTCTCGTCCTTGACGATATTGAGGTTGTAGTTACCTGAAGTCTCTCGGGGCCGGGTAAACAGCCCCGAGATACTCTCGTCACCGTCGTCATCATCATCAATGCAGATGGCCTGCTTCGAGTCACCATTCTTTGCTTCGGTCTTGTTTGAAAATAGGGAAGCACATTCATCATTGGAACCATGTCCCTCCTTCTTTATGACGGGCTGGCTGGTGCCAGCGACAAAGGATGCTAAAGTGGCCATGGTGGAACACGAAAGGATTGAAGATGAAAGAAGGAGAGGGGCGAAGGAGTGAAGGAGTGAAGGAGTGGAGATGAAGGAAGAAAGAGATGAGGGAAGAGGAGATGAACGAGGGTTTATATACTCGTGAGAGGATGGGCCATGAATCACGGCCTCGATTTGTGCGGATGGTCTTAGACTAGGCTTGGGCCCAGGTTTTGGAGAAGGCTCTCTGAGTTGAGATAAGAAGGATGCAATCGTTCACCACGATATTATCATACCCACGTATAGTGCGAGAAGCTCCTTTCGGCTGTTGAGTTGGGATGAAACACTCCTTTCCAGAGCGCGTCCCCAGTGGACACAATGAATACTTACACAATCCAACATCAAGACCTCACGATAACGGCACAGAAGATGATCGAGTTATTTTTCATTAGATTGCAGTATGCATGTAGATAGTAGTTATCACAACCACCTTATAATCGCACGCCTTGTATTCTCAGTTCAGACTTATCACCAATTCTGTATCCAAGTTGACAGACGAATCAGCATGCAAAGGGGATTTGTGTTTGTGTTCGGTCACTTTCAAGAATACTCTAAATTAATTTGATGTCGTTACTCTAGCAAAACAGATTTATGCATTACGCCATTTGGTATAATGTGCAATTCGAACGCTTCCTCCTTTTTCAAGTTTAGTTGCGCTTAGAAAACTTCCAAGCCGCATAAACTCTTCAATCCATATTCCAGCAGTATCTTTTCTCCTCTAACCCTCTCGATAAAACTTGAGGAAAGCCTTGGCGATAGCAACACCATCATGGGGAAGTGGCGCGCGTTTCATAGCCTCGTTATACACTTCATCCGTAAAGATGCCGACTGTATGACGGTTGAAGAGAATCTCGGAAATAATCTCATTGGTGAACTCCGGGTGTCCTTGGACAGTGAGATATCTTCCAGGTGAGTAAAACCCCTGCACTTCGCAGATCTCATTGGAACCAAGAGGAATTGAGCCCTTGGGGAAGTCGTCCACAATGTCACGATGCATTTGGTGAATGCGCTGTGTAACAAGGTCAGTGAAACAGTCGTACAATAACACGCGCAGCAAAACGGGTCTTACCATCTTGTCCAACCCGAAAATCTCCTTGCCCTTGTCCGTCAAATCAACTTCTGTGACTGCAACCTCCCATCCCTTATTGCTGCGTCCGCACTTGGCGCCCTCAGCTCGTCCGATGATCTGGTGGCCGAAACATACGCCTACGACTCTGATGCGATTCGTGTCAATGGCTTTCTTTGTGAATTCGACAAGCTTGATGATCCAGGGGTCGTTGTCGAACGCTGTGTGTCGAGAGCCAGTGATGAGAACCGCATCGATGTCGTCGAGGGATGGATAAGAGTGTAATTCGTTCACGACATCGTATCCCTTGATAGTAACCAGATCCTCAAGCTTCTGAGGCTTTGCAGCTTCCTGGAGGAGCGCAGTAAAGACACCAGTGTAGCCACCGAAGCGATCGCGAGTTTGGGGCTGCGGGGTGTCGGCTTCGAGAATAGCGAGGCGAAGAGGAGCCATTTTGGGCAGTGTTTGGATCCAATGTGAGGAGAGAAATAGTTTACAGGGTCGGGTAGTTGTGAGCTGGAGATATGACTGTTGAGCGAAAAACGGCCAGGGCGCAGGCTGCAAGGCCCGGTCTGGAGATGGACCCTTCCTGCTCGTGTAACGGCGGGACCGATAGCGGGGTGGACATGAGGCGAGATAAGCGGGCAGAATTGGAGACAATGATGTTATACTACCGAATAGGTAAGCGGTGAGAAGCCGGTAGTTGGAGGTAGAATGTACTTGGTAACGTTACAGGCGGTCTACGACGACTCACGGGAATACGATGAGAGCTTTATGTGCTGTAGATTCACGTGGAAACAATGTCTTTTCATGTGAACTCAAAATTCATGCTCGTTTGTGGTTGTGCATGGCTTCACAAGCAGCATGCACTCCAGTATCTTGGCTTATAGTACTCTAATGATATTATGCAGGCATCTACAATTGTTGAATTCAAAGATACATCCTACATACCCCAGGGTAGTGCTCTCATGTTCCAAATACTTGCTCAACAAAGTGAGATTTACTGTGCCAGGGAGGTCTAGTCCTGTTAATTACAAGGGATAAATAACAAAGTTATATGTAGGGCTGATTGGCATCAGCAGGTTACCATGCATATAAATGTCACGCATAGAGTTACGTCGCGCAAGCCATTTCTATCGCAATGATAGAATAACGTCCAAAGACTGGATGAATGCAGACAAAAATGCATGTATACAACTAATGCTATAGCTTTCTCATCCCTCAGTAAGCACCAGCTACTGCGTTGATTCTGACCCAACTGTCAAGGATGGGGCGAGCTCCATCAAGTGACAGTTTTGTGGCTGATGTTCCCTGCAAAATTGTTCTGGGTGAGGTCTTGACCGTTTAAGCTTTAACTTACAACTTACATAAAACACATGCAGGGACTCTCGTGAGTTGGGTTTTGTTTTTTATAAACGTTATAGGTGGCTTGTTCTTCTTTTTCGCACTTTTTACTCCTTTCTTTCTCATTTCTTGCATCAAACATGGCGATTTCAGTCAATATGGCTTCGAGACTGTCGTTGGGCGGCTTTTTGGCCAAAGCGAGAGCTGCTTTGACAGCTCCAGCGGCGCAACGAAAGGGACCTCTTACTTTTGTTGTAGGAAATGAATCAGCTGGTAAGTCAGGTACTACTCATATCCAAAGACAGCCTCAGCTAACAGAAACAGACCTCGATTCTCTCTGCTCTGCTCTTGTCTATGCTTATATGCGCACTCATACCCCTCCTCATACCCTACACATTCCCCTCTCAAACCTGCCCCGCGATGACCTCGCTCTTCGCACCGAGATGTCAGCAGTTCTCAAGCACGCTGGTCTCACTCTTAAAGATCTCCTAACTCTATCTGAACTTCCAGACATGAAACCTGAGGAGACACACTGGTTGTTGGTTGATCATAACTCCCTCACAGGTCCACTTAAGAAGTTTTCGGACCGTGTTACTGGCTGTGTTGATCACCATGCCGATGAGAACGTTATTGGCAAAGATGCAGACCCAAGAGTCGTCGAACCTTGTGGAAGCTGTATGAGTTTGGTGGTGGATGAGACGAGGAAGACTTGGGAGGCAATTTCGCGCCTGGATCCTGAGGATAGCGATGCGGCTACGGAGAACGACAAACTCACTAGACTGGCCCTTGCTCCCATTATATCCGACACGATGAACCTGACGGCCAAGGAAAAGGTTCGAGAGAAGGACTTGAAGGCAGTTGAATTCCTAGAAGGACGCATGCACAAACCCTTCAACCGCACAGCCTACTTTGACGAGATCTCCGCTGTAAAAGAGGATATTTCTGACTTGAGCTTCCGCGACATTCTGCGCAAAGACTATAAAGAATGGGATGGTTCAGGCCTGAGGCTTGGAATAAGCTGTGTGGTCCAAGACTTCAACTACCTCGTCGACAAAGCCGGTGCTTCAGAACCGCTGATCGATGCCTTTGAGGACTGGGCGAAGGAGCGCGAGCTCGATGTGGCAAGCATAATGACCACTTCCCACCCTAACGGGGAGTTTCAGCGCCACCTGCTTATCCAGGGTATCACCGACCAAGGTCGTGAGGCGGTGGATAGGTTTGTGCAAGCTGGCGATAAGCTGAAGCTGGAGACGTGGAAGGAGGGAGAGCTGGATCATCATGGACACAAGAGGTTTGCCTGGAGGCAGAAGGAACTTGCTGCTAGTAGAAAGCAGGTTGCGCCTTTGTTGAGGGAGGCTCTTAAGAAGAGTTGACTACAAGGGCTGCAGAGTTCCAAGATATAACTGCATAAAGGGAGAGCGAGACGTCACTGAGAGGATACATCGTTGCAAGACATGAGGTTCTACTCAAGACCTAGACTGAGGTTCATATTCCTAGATGCATCATGATATTGTTACATATGATTTGTTATACACAAGACCCGAATCCATACTATGCTTTTCCAAGGCTTATTTGTGAAACCATTCTTCCTCGTTCAAATCCAGTTCCTCAGACGCATTCGTCCCTTGATACATTCTCTGCCTAACAAAGTACGCAGCTGTCTCAGTATGGAGAGCCTCAACCTCCCTCAACATCTTGAGATACTGTCTGTTCGCCAACCTCTGCCTGCCATAATGCGACTTTACTTGAATATCACCAGGGCTTGACTGCAAGAGCTTTGCAGCCGCTGGATCAGCGACCCTGATGCACGCCTTGAGCGAACCGTACAGTTTGCCAATCATGGGTAGGGGCTGAGGCTCGTTGATCATCTCATCATACACCCATTGTAGGTTCTCGATGCAAAAGACCTGGTTGTTTGTACGTGCCATCTCCTCGTAGACAGCTTTGTATACACTTGAGTTCCTGGCTTTCTTGAAGAGAGATGGTCTACGGAATGTGTCCCAGAATCGGGGCCAGTCCCCTCGTTGCGCGTAGGCGTACAGCAACCTGCTCGTTTGATTGTTGCTGAATTGACAGTCCTTCTGCACTATGAGTGTTTCGAGGTTCTTTTGAGCACGCGCAAGCTTAGGTTGTCCGAATGACGGCGATGACAGGCCCCCCTCGATAAGCGCGAAGAATATTTTATCGGTCCAGATGACCATGCCTCGCTCCTCGGCCGTCAGTAGGATCTGATCGACAAGAGTGAGCCGTGACCCGGAAGCAGGCTCAGCTGCAGGCGCTATCATAGCATCTTGGATGAATTGATAGAGTTGTACCTGATCAAGGGGTAATCCAACCAGCTGAATGTGCTCGAAGCGCTTACGGACCTGTTCCAGATCCGGGGTCGTTTCCGCTGAGTGGTCTTGAAGGTCAACGAGTTCATCTGGTACGGGTGGAGAAGTGTGGAAAATACGTGAAGGCTCTGGTGAAAGCCGCCGGGCGCTCGTGGTGTAGGCACGTCGTTGTTGTTGGGACGCTTTTTGTAAGGCCTGCCATTGTTGAGCAGATTCTGACTTGGGGAGCTGGACTTTGCTGGCCAGAAGTTCATCAAGCTCCTCAGGGCTGTTGATCTTTTCACCACGAGCTTGCTTGTTTTCTCGCAAACTCTTCTTTAGAACAGTCTGCCACAGACTCTCGAGGTCAAGCTCTGCACGCCGGGATTCCGTCATGCATTGGATGACCACTGTGGTGCCTGTTTGGGGAGCACCGAAACCAGAGAAGCGGCCACTATCATCCACCTTGGCAGCTTCATCGACGTTATCGCTATTGGAGGAAAAGTTTACGCAGACCCATCCTGTCGAGATACCGTTGTCACCACCAGGAATAATAGCAGTGTTGGTACCCATCAGCTTTGCCTTTTTCCTGAGTCGACGAAGCTTCGTCCGTAGTTCACCAGGCCCAATCAACCCATCAGCTCTAGCAGAAATGTTGTGGTTTTTTCGAAGCCATCGTACAAAGCGACCGGAGGAAATGTGAAGATGTCGTTCACTTCGAGCTGTCGCAAAAAGCATGATCAAATTGGGACCGAGAGCAGCCGGAGGATCAAGGTCGCGCATGTCCAGCATAGAAATCTCGTCTAATCCCATGTCCTCGAAGATGTATTTCACCATTGGCTCCAAGACTTCAGGTGCACCTTCGGGTATTTTTGGTAATTGGACCGCATGTTGATTCTCGGGGTGTCGTGGGGGTTCAACTTCAAGAAACCAAGGAACATCTTCAGGATCTTCGGCCTCTTCTGTAGCCTCGAGTTCCGAATTGAGAGCGTCGCTTGGAGGAACCGGGCTCGAAGACTCTTTTTCGATTATCGTCTCGTGCACTTTAACATCTGAATAAAACCTTGTCGCTAGAGGAAGCCGTCGTGAAGTGGTCTGTGGCAAGCTGCGAAAAGAGCTTGTAGCTGGCCTTGATACAACAGCACGAACAATAGCGGATTGGCATTGGCGGCAACTCAATGCCGCAGCCGCAGGTCGAGTGAGCATCTTGACTTTGATCTCTCGGTTGAGATGCAAGACTAGAAAATCAGAGTCACGGAGCTAAAGGACCGTAGAGCGTCATGGCTGAATTTGGTACAGTCCAGTTATGAAGTGGAGAAGATGGAACAGTTTACAGCTCTCGATCGGCTGAGGCGGGCTCCATAGAATAAAATCTGCACCCTGGAGAGTACCTACAGCAGAGAGTACTGACCTAGACAGAACCTCAACTTCAGGTCTAATCAGGGCCAAAATGGACCAGAAGCTCCGTTAAAGCCTCTACGATCAATATGATTGCTTAAAAAATTAATAATAATATTTCCAATGCTCTCCTATTGGAGGTCTCGTGCACCCACTTTCATCTCGACATTCTTCTCGAATTTCGGGTGGGTCTGAAAAAAAGTCCCCTGCTTTTCTATTGCCACGATTTGTTCCACACGTGACCTCTGTAGTGTTTCTCAGTTCACCGTCCAATCCTTCGATGCTGAAAAATTTGGAGATCGATTCGAAGTATCTGCTTCACGCGACAGCAGCAACAGGACAAGACTTGTCCATCAACAATCGTTGCGACACTCCTTCTGGTACTTGTCTTGTCTACGA